ATTAAATAATCGGCAAATTGTTTAGTAGTTGATTAATCATTAACTCAAGTACACAGACTCAAAAAAAAAACAATATTTGCTGAAAGAACAACATATTCAGAGCAGCAATTCAGCCAAAACGGTGTAAAAAATAAAAATACAAATTTTGCATTTAAGATAAAAAAAAGAACTTCTGTAAAAACTAAATTTCCCGTTAAGCACTTTTTGATATTCAATTCCATGATTAAGCCAAAAAAATAAATCTAGAGATTAGCCTTACATTGTACTGATGTTAAGTCAAGCAGGAAGGTGCTGAGTTTTTCACATGTGGTTTGAAGTATTTTTATTATTTTTTTCAGCTGCATGGGCATTTTTTGCTACAGATGATCAAGCACTCACTAAAGGAATACAATAACATGCTCAGTTTATTTGAAAAATGTATTTAAGTATATATTTGTATTTTTTAATGTACTTCTAATATCGTAGAAAAAACGTTTAAGTGGTTAAATGAAAAATCTGCAGAATGTGTCAATTTTTAAAATCTGATTAAAAGTCAAAATAATCAATTATTCAAATAATCTTTAGTTGCCGCCCTAATGTAAATGAAAACGTTCAATCTATAATCAATCTATTTTGTTCCACAGGTGATCGAAGGCCCCTTTCCCAACGGTGTGGCATCAGACGTTGACGCTCCGGTCTCTTCCACTTGTCCCCAAAGTTCTTCTGCAACTGAATCCAGAGAAACGTCCGAGCCCTTCAGCTCCCAGAATATTCCCCTCAAATCTTCCGAAGGTTCAATGATGAACCACGAGGACACACTGGAGGTGATTACTCAGTTTTCTCCCTTTTTCAAAAAAGAAAAAGAAAATTTGAAGAAAAGATCCAGCTGTTTAAAAGGACCTGTCTTCATTTTTAGGACACCGAGGAGCTTTCAGAGGAAGAGGAGATGAAAATAGCAGAGATGAGACCCCCACTTATTGAGATTTCAATCAATCAGCCTAAAGTAGTGACTTTAAGTAAGGATAAAAAAGGTAAACCCTAAAATTTAATTTCAGATGTTAAGAATTTTCTTTTTTTCCAGTGATGCTGAAAGGCTGGCCGATAAATCGATTTCTATCAATTAATCAAATTATGGGTTTTTGAAGATTTAATTTTCGGACAATTGAATCGCAGTATTAACTTCTTGGGTTTCCATGGTTCAGACTGATGTCAGCAGCCAGCTAGTTTTTTATTTAGTAGAAAGAACTACACAAACTGAGCTGCTCACATAAAGGTCCTGATGATTTTTTTTCTTAATACATTTATTCCTGGTGAAATGGCATCCTTTTTCTGCTAATATTATGACTACATTCTTATAATGAAACAGAAATTCTTGTAGCCTGGCCCTAATACTTTGTGGTAAATCACACAGAAGAAATGATGGAAATAAAATCCCCATTTTGAAAGTATTTTCTGTAATTTCTTCTTTAGAAAAGAAAGCGAGCAAAAAAAATTGATTCATATCTGGTATAAAAAAAATTGGAGACATATCTTCCAGACATAAGTACCTTTATAAAAGTGATATCTCTGTTCAATAGATGATGCTGATTCTTTGCTGGACGACACCGTAGCCAACAGCAACCAGAACAACAGCAACTGCTCGTCGCCATCGCGGATGTCTGACTCTGTGTCTTTAACCACCGACAGCAGTCAGGACAACTCTCTGTGCACGCCAGAGAGGGAGTCCAAGATGCCTTTCCTTCCAAAAAGCAGGTAAGCTCCCTTCTTCTGAGCTTAGCCATCATCCTGCCGTTTCCACACAGTCTGATTCTGTGTTTCTCTCTTGGCGATAAATATTACTAGACAAGACGACGAGAATATGAACCAGCCAAAAGACACCACCCCTCTCCTCCACAATGGCAATGGCTCAGAACCGTCAATCCAGACCCTGTTAAAAACCCAGCAGACCCCACCAGAGTACGACCTGTCGATGGAAGCCTTCATTGAGAAGGGGATCACCAACGGAATGGGGGACGCCTACACCAAGTGGGACCAGATCAATATGAACGTGACCAAGCTGCCGCCGTACCACGCCCCGCAGTTCAGCGAGCTGGACAAAGCAAAGAACGGCTCGGTCAATGACTGCAACGACTTCCAGAACGGGAACCAGCAGGGGAGCGACTGCATCAACAGCCTGGTGAACAGAAGCCAAGGGACGAGAGCGGAGATGTCCGCCTCGACGGGTGTGGCCGCCAGCAGCGACATGTCGTTGTCTCGCAGCACTGAGGAGCTGTCTCCGGAAAAAAGATGCCCGCTGCCGCCGCAAGTGACAAAATCCCACAGCGTCAGCAACATAGAAGCGGGCGGGATGAAGCTGTACTCGTTCGATGGGGACGACGAGGCTGCCGCAGCAGCGGCGGGTAGAATAGTCCCAGGGCCGGGAGCTCAGGGTCAGAACATCGTCCGGAGCAAATCGGCCAGTCAGTTACTCAACGACCAGAATCTGCAGGTCTACCCCGGCTCTTTATCGTCTTCCTCAGACCTGCTGTCGTCCTCTAACCCTCCGGTCAGCACCAGCAGATATCCGGGTTCGTCCAGCATGAGCATGGGAGTCCCTCCCCCTCAGTATAACATCCAGTACGCGAGCAGCGCCGTGCCTAAAGACGGCCTCTGGGCTCAACGGGACCACCAAGGCTACCTCCCGCCTCATCCACACTCCCTCGCCAACACCAACTACTCAAACCGTAACCAGGCACCTCCGTATACTCTACAGCCCCAGCAGAGGGGCGTCCCTATGGCCCCCATGGGAGACTGGACCAAGGAGAGGCTTCATTCTGCCAGTGGGCCGCCTCGAAGCAGCACTCTGCAGCGGCAAGGCAGCTCCGCCTCCTCAGTCTCCATTGGCGACCCAAGGCGCGTCCAAGCTCCCGAGGGGGAGTACATGACCTACAGGGACATCCACACCCTCGCCAGGGGGCCACTGGCAATGAGCCAGGCCATGCAGAGGCCCTTCTCCGCTCGCACTTACAGCATCGACACACCCATCACTTCCAGGCCCGTCGCCGCCAGGCCCCAGCCCCACGAGCTTCCAGAAAGGACCATGTCCGTTAGTGATTTCAGCTACCAGCAAAGCAGCCCCAGCAAGAGGCCCAACACCAGGGTGAAGTCTGAGCACTCGCTTCTCGACGGGCCGGGTCAGGTGTCGGGAGGGATGGGACCAGGGAGGGTGCCAACTGACTGGAGGGACCAAGTGATGCGGCACATTGAAGCCAAGAAAATGGAGAAGGTAAAAAGAAAAGTGCTGATGTGACCAAAATATTTCAGTGTTTCAACGTTTGTTTTTCTAACTGAATAAATAGTTTTGTTTAAACTAGAGGTTTATGTTCTTCTCACCAACTCTACAGCCTATTCAGATATATCAGGGTGTCTATGCCTCCTTAAAAAGTCGTGTCTAAAAGATTAAGGCCTTAAAATGATTCACTTTAAAAACTAAGTTGGCCTCTAATTTGTTAATCACATGTCTTTAAATATTCCAGTCAAGACAAAATTTATCTTGCATTGTTTTTTTCTCACTGGATTTTTCTGCCAAGAAAAGGTTTGAGTCGCACTCGGACGTCTCCATTGCGTTGCGGTTCCTGTTAACTCACTGCTAACATACACTTGCTAGCTAGCTAGCTTTTTTGAGTCTATCATGGATAAGTGCAAATTTATTGCCAGTAGTCTAGACAAAGTTTGTACATTTCTGCGGAAATACAATTGTCTTTAAAATGTCTTAAAAGTCTTAAATTTGAGTTGCAGACTGTCAACAGTATTATACTCTTTTGCACCACAGACAGATGCATCTGCATCTTCCCACATCAAGCTCTAAATCACATGAATTTTGTTTTTAAAGTCTTTTTATGCCAGAGAAAGGCCCAGAGTGATCCGAGTTTGGTTCTGCCCTGCCCCCACTTGTTGCTGGTCAGCAGCGTGAAACACAAGTTCCTAGATTTTGACACTAGAAGCACATATGTAACTGTTTGGAAATATTTATTTAATGCAAAACAAAAAGGTTTTGCATCTTCTGTGAGGTTTGAAGCAAGCCATGGAACAATGAGAGTGCTTTTTTTTTTAATTAAAGCATTTTTATTAAATAGCCGTTTAACAAATAGTTTTACCAGAGGCTACTAACCCATCAGTAGAACTCCTCTGATTCACTGCATGCTGATTTTTACTGTATCTGTCCATGTTTTTATCTTTTTGTTTATCTGTCACTCATTTGGTGGATTGCATGGCTACCTTCCGACATGTCGGCTGCTTCCTTGTCGTCAGAATGCGCTGTCTCGCTCCTATAATTTCAATACTTCTCCGCTGAGCTGGTCTCACTACGGCAGCTGTAGGGATATGCATGCCAGCCAAGGGGGCATGGCCTTTAGCGGAGCTGACCGACAGCCCTATGGAGCCCTGAGCTTCCGTGTGAGTACTGTGAACTTGTAGCCAGCGCCAGCAGCTCAAGCTCCAGCTCCTGCTAGTTTCACATCATTTTCAAAAGTAAAGGAAATGTCTGTTTCCTTGTACACCAGATGTTGAGAAGTAATCAGACCCTGAGAAGCTATCTTTGGCTTGTTCTTTTATAGAAAACCAGAGTTTACTGTTTCTCAACATCTGATTTCCTGTTACTAAAATTCATGTGTGGTGATTGATTTCAGTGAAAACTGGACAGATTCCAGTTTCATGTTCCCTGTGATCATTAGGGGAGCAGCTTTTTAACAGGGGCCTTGTTTTTGTTTTGTTTTTTTAATATAGAAAATAAACCAGTAGATAATTAAATCCAGTAGAAAGCTTAAATGTTTCTAAAGCTAATCTTATTTAGCCATCATTTGTATGTAAGCCGAACATCAGATGGGACTTGGGATGCAAACGATTGATCGATGTACAATTAATTGCAAATTAATTGTTTATTAAATTAAAATGAGTTCCTATCAAGTAACTAACAACACCTCCACTGAGGTCTACTTTTAGTCTTGTAGTTTGGCCACCATCCAGCAGAAACATCCTAAAGCAGAGCCGGTTGATAGAGAAACAAAGATGGCGGCACCATACCAGAGAAACGCTCGAAACAGGGTCCAGTGTGGGATAGAAAATGCACTTTATGTGGTTCTGTTTTGAAACACAAACACTTGACTGGAGGAAACTCAGATTTTTAAGAAAATGGCAGCTTATCGATGGGTAACATCAATAAGCTCAATCAACTTTAGATCATTAATCGATACTTTTCATCCCCTAAGTGGGATAAAAGAGCCCCTTTTAAATATGCTGTGCTCTTTAATGTAAAAAAACCCTCAAAAACATCCCAGTATTCCTCACCATCTCACCTCGAATAATTCGTCTTGTGATTGTGACGGCTGTCTGAACCATGATGTCTCCTCCTCTAACTGCATTTGTAACGTTTAATTTTGCTCATCCGTCATCTTCACTCCAACCTCTGATCACATCAGCCTGACTTCGTAACCTCCCACTTCATGTGTGGACTTAAAAATATGTTGATGAAAGGTAAGATGGCCAAAGTGTGTGTGTTAAGGACGTAGACGTGGGAATTGGCATAGATGGAGAGTTTTGATCCTGTTTAATCCATGTGTGTCGTGTAACTTCTATTCCTGTAAACTTAACCACAGTCCACTTAGTTCTTGATTTGAGCAAATCACAATTTAATGTTTCCCCATTAAAAAGAAACTGATATGCTTTATCCTTGTTCCTCTTATGTCAAATTAAAGTCTTGCTTTTGATGTCAGCACAAGGCAAACTATATGTCCCTGTCGTCCTTTTGATGTCCCATGCATATTGATTGAAAAGGTACCAAGTAGATGTTCGGCGTGTGTCATTTCAGTGCAATAATTATCCACATTTTCCTTTCAGGATGATGTTTTTGTTCCCCAAGGGCCACAAAGCTACACCATGGACCCCCACAGAAAAGTAGGTGTAATTCAAGTCATCCAGTAAAGAAAAACCTAAATTTGTCAAAACTTCTGGTTTCAACTTGATTTTTACCTGTCAATATTTAGCAAAGCACTGAGCTTGCACACATGTGCCGAGCAGTCTGTTTATCAGTGTGTGTTTCTGTCGCCTAGGTGCCTTTGATGAATGGTCAGATGGGCCCTTCTGTTCGTCCTCAGATGAGCCAGACCTCAATGGCTCGTCACCCTTCCAGAGAGCAGCTCATCGATTATCTGATGCTCAAAGTCTCCCAGCAGCCCCACGGGCCTCCGCGCATTCCTCACGACACGATACAGCAAGAGGTGAGGTCGTCGGTTTCTCTTGTAAAACTAAAATGAAACTTTAGCTTTTTCTTTTTTTTTTCTCGCTACTATTACAATCGCTTGTTTAAGTCTGCAGGTGTTGCTAGCAGATGTTATTTTTAGTCAGTAATGGGTGTTTCACATTATTAATACCCTTTTAACTTTTCGTATTTGGTCCTTTAAAAAGAATGCAAATGTCTTCTGAAGTCACCCAGTTGGTAAACGGAGTATGCCTGTGTGTAATTTAATCTCAGTATAAATAGAAATGATGTACATAGGTGTCAGGGTATTTTTAAAGAACATAAGCAAATAAACTGCATCACAAAGACCAAAAGATGCGGATGGCCTTTCAGCGAAGTAGCGAGTAGAAAGCCATAAGAAATTCTGTTATCAGTTTGCCACAAGCCGTGTAGACGAAGAAGGTCCGCGGCACATCGCCCTAAACATGCCACCCCCACAGTAAAACCAGTGGTGCCAGCATCGTGCCTTGTGGGACACCTTTTCCTCAGAGTTGAAAGAACATGGATCCTGTTACATAAGAACAGGACGATTGTGGAAGAAAACCTGTTAAGAGGCTGAAAAAGACTTGAAACTGAATCAGATGTTCACCTTTTCTTTTCTCCCAGCTTTTTCTTTTTCCAACAGTTTCTTCCACTCCATAAAAGACTAAATCTCTTAAAGTACTTATTTTATTTTCTCTCTCACTCAGCTGCATAGATCAATGCTAGGATTAAGTCTGAAGTTCAAGGGGAGAAACTTACAAGGCGTCATGTTTCTGGGCATTTACTTCAAACCTTCCCATCAAGAAGAAATCTGTCCACACAGAGGCTTTGCAAATCTCTCCCTAGATTTATCTCTCCCGTTTATCCAACATAATCACTGTTCCTGTCTTTCTAATGAACCATTGTGAGTTAGTTTGACATTGTTTTCTTTAGAGTCCTGCTGTTTTTGCTTCTGGTGTGTATTAATGAAAGAGAAATGTGTAACTGACGGGGAGTGAAGTGAAACAGTAGCTTATCAAAAGTGTGTGGGTGTGTTTCAGATCCGTGTGAAAGTAGAGAAGAATCCAGAGCTGGGTTTCAGCATATCGGGCGGAGTGGGAGGCCGGGGAAACCCCTTCCGTCCCGAGGATAATGTAAGCTTACACCTTTCATCTTCTAGTCTTTCTTTTTGCTCTTAAGGACATTCTGTGCCCCGGGTGCCTACAGAGTCTGGAAAAGTTTGGAATTTGATTTTAAGTACTCTTCAAGATCTAAACAAGTATCTGTCCATCCCTTCCTGCATTAGTTGTCCGTATGTCCGTCCATGAATTTATCCATCCGTGCGTCGCTCCATTCATCTATTTCTCTATCAGGGCTGAAACTAACGATTAATCAGAAAATGGCACATTCTCTGTATGTTTTTGTTACCCACATAAGCCTTTCATAACATGTTAGAAATACACTAAAATGTACAAATAATTCAATTCCTTGATTAATTAAGAAAAAAATATTATTGCTTAAGATACTTAAGAATATCTAAACCAGGTGAAGCTAAACCTATGCCGCTTTAGGAGTTTTAGCTAAAATATATTTATCAACGATCTGGATACATTTTGCATTTTTGTCTATGCACAATGTACATATTTTTTTAACAGTTTTGGCTTAATTACTGCTCTGAATGTGTGGGGTAATTTGTTTTTGTATACGACCGTTTTTGAGTCCGAAAACTCCAGTTAGCTGATAACTAAATAAGTTAACGGTTATTTCATTAATCAATTAATCACGATTAATCGTTTCAGCCCCGTTATTTTTTTACTTCTATCCATTAGTTAATCAGCACATCCAGTCAGCCTGTGGTTTCTGCAGGTTTGTATTCAAAGCCTGTTTCTAACCACTGTAGAAATGCATGCTTCCCTGTTAACCAAAAAGAGAGGGACAACCCTGAAACCATGTCCTATTTTGAAATAAGAAAGGAAAAAAAAAAGTTTTTCTTAGACATTAATTTATTGTTGTAGTTGAAAACCACTGCATTTTATGTCTTATGTCATTTTAGGGCATTTTTGTGACTCGAGTTCAACCTGAGGGGCCAGCGTCCAAAATCCTTCAACCTGGAGATAAAATAATTCAGGTATTGTGCTTAAAAAAAAAAAAAAATGTAATGTTGGTTCTGGTTCGAAGGGGGAAAAAAACAAACTTTTTTTTGTGCTCGTTTTGGTCCACAGGCAAATGGCTACAGCTTTGTGAACATCGATCATGGGAATGCAGTGTCCCTGCTCAAGACGTTTCCAACCACTGTGGATTTAACGATCGTAAGAGAAGTGCAAGCGTAGACTCGACTGCATCTGTCCGACAGACCGGTGCACCACAAGAAAGGAGAGCAAAGAAATTTATGGTGACTGTCATATTTTTATACACAGAGGAGAGACTGATCTGCTGACACCTATTGGGACTATTTATAGCTGAGATCCTCAGAGGTCTTCGTCACCTCGATGCAACGGGGAAAACCACTGAATGTAGTGGGTCTTAGTGAAACAGCAGCAAACACATGCAAGTACGCGTCCTCAAAAGGCCGTCACTGTGGTATACATATATATATTTTTTATACGAAAACCTGAAGATTTGATGAGAACTCTGATCTCTGTACAGATCCGCTTTTTTGTTTGTTTTTCTAAGTCAACGACTTATCAACCACTTGTCAAGATTTGGGTTTTACTTCCTCAGATGGGCATGGAGGCGACCACTAGGGGGCAGGGCTCCCACTCTTCTCTTATGTCCTTAAGTTTGCCTTTTATTTTTTTAATTATTATTCTGTAGCTGAACCATTTCCCAGTTGCCAGGTGACATTATTAAAAGGGACTGCGTCACGTGCTTCTCATGGGGAGACGAATGTAGATCAAGGAGGCGTTTGTTTCTGTTTTTTTTAATGGAAGATCAAAGAAGGAAACGAAGAGGGAGAACCATCCACTCCGACTTCCGTAAACCCGTCAAGATCCACCTCAGTCATGTTCTGGATAACCAGATCTGTGCCATCCGGAAGCTCATCCCAACTCGTCAGACGTTTTCAGAAATGTAGGTGTTCCTTCGACCAGAGAAGAAAGCAGAATGGAGTTCCTCGCATCGGGAGAAAAAGCGGGTTCTTGTTTTTATGTCTCTTTTGAAAAGGTACAACTTTTGTTTAAAAAAAAGAGGACTAAAACTGGGGCAATAAGCACATCTGGTTCAGGCAGGATGACATAAAGGTGCTTAGAAGTAGACAAGCTAGCTTTCGATGAAAACACCTCAAGGCTACTCCATTTAACCAAAGCAAGCATTAAAATGAACAGAAGGTAAAAGCAGGGACTGTTCTAAGAGAGATTTTAAGGATCAACATGTTTCGTTGTGTGGATTTCATCTTTTAGGTCGCCATCAATGCAAAAAAAAATAAATAAAAAAGTTTGCAACATGAAACATTTTACACAGAAGAAAACCAGAGGTTGCCTTTTGTGTCTGTTTTGTTCCCGTCACTCATCACCTCGAAGCAGTCTTGTGGGTTTTTTTGTTTTTGTTTTATTGTTTTTCCTTTGCTGTACGGAGAACAGATGGAAGACACAAATTGTCAAGTGCCATAGACCTTGAACTGTTTGAACAAGAGGAGGGATGTTCAGCTCTTCCCCCCCGAGGAACCCAAGCAATACCCACATTCGCAACCCCTTCGAATACATCTGCAGCATAATGGCTTCAAAGCAATATTTAAAAGCCTTTATTTTCATTCCGACGGCATCGTTTTTAAACCTAAACACAAGCTTTTAGTACCCCTGATGATTTTATGTTTTTTTTATATTGTGATTTTTTTTTTTGGTTTGTGTTTTTTTACAATGAAATGGCACAGAAATTATATGTGTGTGTGGCATTGCTCAAAAAACAAAATCTCTGCGTTGTGACAGAGTTTTCATCACTTTGGCCGAGATATTTTACTGTTTTGTTGAGTACTGAATATCTCGCTGTTTGTGTGTTTAAAAGTTTCCACTGTGGGGTTTCAGCATTCTGAAAACAATTATAAAAGGACTGTGAGAAATAAGTGTGATCAAGATTTATATTATACCCCCACCTGTTGACATTCAGACACAGGTACAGCAGCGAGACGTGTTTCCCAAACTAGTGGAAATGATAAAATACACATTGTCCAGTGAATTCCTTCACTTCCATCATTTGTTGCCAGTGAAATATCTTGTATTTTTGCTTTTTCCATTGGCAACCAAATAAAAAAAAAACTACCCCCCCGCCCCATTTTAATTCATTTAAAATAAACGAATAAGTTTCTGTTGAAAAATATGAAGCTGGCCATTAGTTCTTCTACTTGATTAGCAATTGGTCAATTTTTATTTACAAGAAAATGACATTTTTCGCACATTGTGTTGTATTGTACTCTGATGAAATCCTTGATTGTATTTGTTTTAAAGTTCTTTGCTTTTTTTTCTTTGTTTTTTTTTAACGGCAGAGATTAATTTCTTGGGTTATGGTCACTTTATAATCACTTCAAAAAAAATTGTCTACTTTAGACAATCTAGGGATGAAAACAAATCTTTTCACTGTTTCTTCATCCACGTTTTGTGTTTTTCACTCCCACTTTTGTATTTATTTAGCAGACTTACATGAAATTTTAGACCTTACTAATCAAATTGTAAATAACTGAAGAAACATTTGTGACTTGCGATTGTAAAACCAGCAATAAATTGCAAATGCAGAGGCTCCCATTTAAATGTATAGCTAGTATTTCTAATGTTTCTCTGGAAACGGTCACAGTGAGATGATTGATATGCATTTATCCAACATTCCAGATTTTGTACATAATTTCCTGTTTCAGAAGTTACCTGTGGGACAATAAACTAATGCTGTTTAACAGTGATGCTTTTGTTTTACTGTCTCGATCGTCCGGGTTCATCTTAAGGGCTAACGACAAAACTGGGAAGAACTCAATAAGTGCTCGTTTTGGACCTGCTGAAGATAAATTGCAGTAACTGGTAGTTATTCAAAAATGGCTTCATTTAAAAGCGTGTGAATATGCAAGTCTTGACCGCAGTTTACACTTTTGTGCTACTTTGTTACCCATTCAAATAGATGCAACAGTTTTTAGTTTCAGCTTCTCATTTTGTGTGAATATTTTTAGATCTGTGTGACCAGAGAGCAAAACAAATGCCAGCACAAAACTTTTATCATGGGCACTCCACTGCTTTTTACAGATTTTGTCTACATGTTGTAATTCAAATACATGTAAAATACCTGACAGTTCTAACATTCCTAAGTGCACAAGGTTGGATCCTATTTCTACCAACAACAGTATGACCGGAATACTTGGATTAGCAAGTAGTGGTTGTGTAAATGTAGTGGAAGTGAATGGAAGAAGTTAAAAGTCTCACTTTTTTTATACTGTTCTCAAAAGGTATTTTGCCGATCCCCGTTAGTCAAGCCAACTCCAACTCTGCACAGCTGTTTACATTTACTATAAAATATTTGACCCCAAGTTTATATTGCTTCCTGCCCCATTGTTGAAAATTAAATTGAGCCGTTATGCTATGAGTACAGGGAAATCTGTTATGTATACATTTTATACATAACTTCCTTTTTTAAAATTCTTGTTTTTCTGGTATGTTCGATATAAAATGGATTGACGGTAAGTCAAAACGCTGCTACACAATCTGTCCTTCATTTAACTCAGACACTGATGTAAAAAAAAAAAAAATGTTGCTGCTTGTGAAGATAAGAAGGAAAAACACTTTGAGTGCTTATATGTTTTGTTTTGGAACGTGATCCAGAAATATGTTGTGCTGTGTGACAACTCCTACAGTGGAGGAGTCTCCTTTTTCGGTTTTAGATTGTCTAATACTTGTAAATATTACCACTGCATTTTTTAAAGCAAAACAAACATTGCACCTTTTCTATTGTAAAGTTTCATCAGGTTTATATTTGTATTTTTTCTTAACTTTTAGCACCCATTTTTGCACTTTATTTGTGGAAGAAAATTTAATTTTAACAATAGCAGATAGGTTAAAGATAGCTACTTGTCATTGTCCTAAAATGGTGCTCTTTTTCTCCAATAGATAAATAAAAAAAAAAGAATATATGAAACTAGCTTTGAAACATACATTTAAATTTGGGCTTATTTTTCAACTTTTGTATTATTTTATATGGGTATGCGTTAGGAGTCAATAACTGGGCTTATATAAATTTATGATTTGCTCAAAACATTTCTGACTATTTCTTTTCTTCTTCATTTTAATTGTAGTGTATTGTTTCTTCCTGTAGGAGGGGCTGTAGTGGTCGATTTTGGTTCTTAGACGATGTTCAAAAACAAGAAGAAGTCTAAAACCTGCCGCACCGCCACCCTCTGGCGCCGACAGGGATAACTGAGAAATTATACAGTTCTAACGATAAAGATTAATTTTAAAACACACACAGACGAAGAAACACTTTATCGCTCGCACAATGCCGGGGACTGCAGTCGTCCAGGTGACCAACTTGTCGTCGGCCGTGAGCAGCGAGCAGATGCGCACTCTGTTCGGCTTCCTGGGAGACATCGAGGAGCTGCGTCTCTATCCCCCCGAGTAAGCGCTGCTTTTCCGGTCTGAGCCAGCGAGGCAACGCCGCGGAGTTGCGGCCTTGTTAGGGCCCCACGTAAGAATTTGTATGTAGCTGTCCCAAATGTTTTTTAATGACTAACTTTATCCTTTGTTCTCCTTAATTCTTCTCACAGCAACACCCCTCTGTCGTTCTCCTCCAAAGTTTGTTATATAAAGTACCGAGACCCCTCAAGTGTTGGTGTGGCGCAACATCTCACCAACACTGTTTTTATTGACAGAGCTTTGATAGTGGTTCCCTGCGCAGAAGGTGAGTGCAAGCTGCTTGGTTTAATAATATTACAATAATAATAAAAAAAACCTTGATAAATAGCTGTGGACGTCTTCTCTGGAATTCACCTTGATGTCTATCGTGGTCGTGGGGAGGGGGGGTGTAGTCTTCAGAAATAAACACGGCTGGTGTCGCATAATTTAGAGCAGGCATGGGCCGGTATGCAAATATATGCAAAGATTTAAAACACAAATACCATAAATTAAGACGATTTATAACCGATATTTTCTTCTGTTACTTCTAATATAATGTGACATTTATTTTTCAGTATTTTTGTTATATTTAAGTAAATATAGGGAATACAGACATGTTAGCTGTATTTTTCCCCCTTTCTTGCTCGTGAGAGAAACTATAGCAGACTTCTTTCTGCCAGCTGACTGGCAGTGTGGCAATCTAAAATCTGATATGAATTTTGTTTTTTTACATCTGTCCAATTTAATTTTCTAAGTTCCAGAACATAAAGAGAATAATGTTCTGTGGTTTCTTTGGATACATTTGATGAACAGCAAAGACATTTTCAGTATTTGACCTGGTTATAACAAATGAGTAGCACATATCTAATTAGAAGGACTGGCAGAAACCGGCCCATGCCTAGATTGGATTTAAAGTATTTTATTGGTCCAGCACCTGGCACAGGTGATGGGTTTAGCCACAGCACCCACTCAAGTTTCTATTTGGTGTCACATAAATTAAAGGGAGATCAACGTTACCATGAGCACTGGACAGTCTGGATTACAACTTGTGTATCTAAAAGAAATGTAACCAAATCCATTGCTAAAGAGTAAAACTCTGTCTTTCTCCCCCTTTTAAATTTTTTTTGGTACCCTTCTCTCCCCCACCCCCTTTTTTTGGCACCCCTGTGTACACTCACAATGATTACACTTCTAACCTGATGCATTTTGTCCACGTGACTTGGTGCTGGATGGCTAATGAGTTTATTAATTTGGTTTTGTATGTTTTTTCTGTGTGATTATGTGTGCATATCAGATGACTAGACTGGCCCAGCTGTTACACTACACTAGCCTGAGTCAGGCATTGTTTTCCAAGCCACTATCCCCGATCGGGCCAACGCAGCCTTCAAGGGGGGGATGTGACCCGGAGAATAGCCCGCAGAACCTTCCAAGATGGACACCTTGTCTCTTTTTTTTTTTTTTTTTTTTTTTTTTGTTTTTTTACTTTTTTTTTATTTTGTTTTCGGTTTGTTTCCTTTTCATACTATCCCATGTTGTCCACTCTCTACTGTCTCTATCTAGAAACTTGCAGGTTGTGTTTATATTTGTTATTTTTTTGTTTGTTATTTTGATTATTGTCCAACCCCCCCAACCCCCTCTCTCTTTCCGCTACAGCTGGAGCTTGTGTGTGGTTGAATTCAGTCCAGGTTGCTACGGCACACCGGTGGGATGTGTGCCACACAAAAGATGCTATGAGGATCACTAACTCTTTTGTTCTCTTGTCTCCTACGTCTGTTGACGTAGTGAAGGGCTAGTCTGTGTGGAAAAGTGAGCCTCAGTAACAAATCATATATATATATATCTACATATCTTTCTTTTAAACTATCTGTGCACTTATTCATCTACTTGACACTGAACTAAGAAGGCAGCATTTAGTACTTTTTCCTCACATTACTTCAGTACCGCTCTGATGTGAATGTTTAGTAATGACACAGAACTGATCAGTGTAGCATCATTCTCTCTTTGTAATGCATTAATACATTGCTCTGTTCATGTTTTGCTTAACAAAGATGGTTGCTTGCCCCTTTAATGCTGAATTCCCTCTAGCTCTAGGTCAAAATTGCACGGTGCCTTGCAATGTTATTCACAAACTTTTTCTAATTTTGTCTCGATGCAACCACAAACTTTGATGTGTTTTTTTGGGATTGTATGTGCTAGGCTAGGGGTCTGCAATGCGACAATCCAGAGCCTCAAGTGACTCCTTTTACCTTCCAATAAAAATAATTAAGAACCAACTAATGTTTTTAAATTTTACTATATAATAATTGTTGTTTTTTAGTTTTAATTCATCTTTTGACATATATTAATTGCACTAAATTTCTAACACATAAGATGATTTTTAATTTAATTTTTTTTTTTTTCGCTTTTGATTTGAAACACTAAATGTATATAAAGTTAAAAAATATATATTATTTCCAAACCAAATAATAGAAATAAAACTGTGATTCTTTGAAAATTACAACAAAATTGCTATACAGGTTTTTTGTCCTTTTTTTTTTTGGACACATACTAGTTTTATTTCAGTGGACTGAGGGCCACAAAGTGGCTCTTTGGCTCTTAAAGGTTGCAGGCCCCTGTGCTAGACCAACACAAAGCGGTCCAGCATAATTTGCTCTGTGTCGGTCAGTCGCATAAAGTCCTAGTGGAACAGAGTTGAGTTTGTGGCTGTGACACGAGGAAATGTGGGGAAAGTCGAAGGGTTGTGAATCTATTTGCAAGGCACCATTTAAAACTTTTAAATCTTCCTGCCGAGAGAGAAGGGAAGAAAATGATTATCCACAGTGGAGTGAGCACAATTCCTAATTGGTTGTTTTATTGAAATCTTAGCATTTCCAAAGTTCTTAAAACTGTTGTTCTTTTCTGTATCTGATGTTCTGTGTGCTATTAGTGATGCAGCCATTGGGGGTTGTCTTGTGTTGCACACCTTTCCAACACTGCGAAACGATCGCCCCCCACTCCCCCCCGCGGAAAAGCGCCCATGCTTGATATCGTATGGTTCATGACCAATATGTTTCCAGTACAGGTGACCATACATCAAAGTGTTGACTCATTCTCTGCATTGTGTTTTTTCTTTTTCTTTTTTTTTCTTTTTTTTTTTTTTACTTAACCTATATATATATAAAAAGAAAGAAAGCAGAAAAACAAATAATCAGCTCCCTTTTTTCTGTTTTTCTTTAATAAGAAGCCATTCTTTTGCACTTTTTATATTAATGATGCATATTGACTGAAAAGAGTAGATTAATCAAATCCAAGTAAGGATGCTTGGTCTGAAGTAGCGGGTAGATGACTCTTTAGGCTGGATGGGGAAGCGTATGCTCTCGTTCTCTCTAGAATACAGTGGGATAAATGTGCAGGCAGAGTGAAGAGCGCCTCCCTTGCCTTCCCTAACGTCCCACTTTGTCCTGCAGGGAAGATCCCAGAGGAGGCCAAGGCTCTGTCGCTGTTGGCACCTGCCGCCCCGGTACCTAGTCTGATTCCAGGCGGAGGACTGCTGCCGATTCCCACTCCGGCTCCACTTCAGAACGTGAGTCATCGTCTTTATTTTGGGTGTTTTTTTTTTTTTGTTTTGTTTTTTGTTTTTTTATTCACATGCACGGGTTGAATCTGACATCCATCCGTGCGGTTTACGTCCGCAGCTGAACCTTCCTCTGGTGAATCGGATCACAGCGAGCCTCGACCCCACAGCCTCTGTGCTGTCTCAGCCTCCCCTCATCGGCAATGTTGACCCGACGAAAATCGATGAGATTAGGA